CTTGATCAACAAGAGGTAAAAGAATGTATAGAAAGTGAGCCAGACACACCCTCAGAAAAATTCACAAAGAATGACAAAAAGTGTAAATCAATAATTTTCCAGTGTGTCTCGAATACCCATCTTGAGTACATCAAGGACAAACCTACTTCTTACCAAATGTGGACGGCCCTGAATAAAGTTTTCCAAAGAAAAGGTGTTGCCAGTCAGTTGTATCTACGCAAGAAGTTGTTGATCATGAAGCTGGAGAGGAGCGAAAATCTTGAGGTTCACTTCAGAAAGTTTGAAGAGGCAATACGTGAACTGAAGTCAGTTGGGGCAACTTCAGAAGAGCTTGATGTAGTGTGTCACTTACTACTAACTTTACCAAAACAGTATGACGCGATAGGGACAGCCCTGGAAACCTTGTAGCCGAAAAAATTAACCCTTGATTTTGTAAAGGGCAAACTGTTGGACCATGAAATGAAGAAAAGAGAAGCTGGTTAGTTGACTCGGGAGCAATAGATCACATGGTGAATACAGAACTTTACTTCAGTACTGTGAGTAAACTTAATAACCCAACAAATGTTGCTGTGGACAAGGCAAATGAATCATTGAAAGCTACAAAAATAGGTAATATTGATGTAATACTTAACATAGGAGAGAAGGCAGGTTTAAAAACTAGTTTTTGTTCTGGTTCTGTGCTTATTTCTAAAAATGGCAAAACAATAGTCCAAGAAAAAAGGGTAAATAATCTTTTTGTGATTGAATTTGACTTAGCTTCAAAATCTCAAGTAAATCTATGTGAAATGATAAGTGAAAAGCTATGGCACAATAGATTAGGTCATTTAGGGCATCAAAATTTGTTGAAATTGTCAAAATTTGTAGACGGTCTTGATATTAATGATTCAGATGCTAAAAGTACTGAAATTTGTCAAACTTGTACACATTCAAAAATCACACGTTTACCATTTGCCAATTTCAAGGGAAAGAGTGCCAATAGACCATTGGAACTAGTTCACAACGACATCTGTGGACCAATTACACCTTCAACGTATGATAACAAAAGATATTTTTTAACCTCCCTTGATGAATATACTAATTTCTCAGTTGTGTATTTGTTAGAAAACAGAAGTGAAGTCTTTGAATGTTTTAAAAATTAGGAAGCATATGTTTCTAATCAGCTTGGTTGCAGGATTGGTTCGCTCCGTTGTGACAATGGACGAGAGTATCATTCTAACAATTCATCAGTTTCTGTAAGGCCAAGGGAATCCAGATTCGAAATACTGTAGCCTATAATCCTGAAATGAATAGATCTGCTGAGGGACTGAACAGAACTCTGATTGAAAAAGGACGAGCAATGCTGCTACACTTGAAGCTACCAAAACTCTTATGGGGCGAGGCTGTACTCTGTGCTACATATCTACTAAACCGAAGTCCTACAGCTGCCTTGAAAGTTAATCATACCCCAGCCGAAATGTTTTATAAAAGAAAACCAAACTTGAAAAATATTAAAGTTTTTGGGAGTATTGTCTACAATCACATTCCAAAAGAAAAGCAAAAGGGGAAGTTTGATGCTAAAGGAAAAATAAACGTCATGGTTGGTTACACAAATGATGGTTACAGGTTGTGGGATCCTTTCAAACAAAAATTGGAAATAGGAAGGAATGTAATTTTTGATGAAACTAAAAATATTAGTAATCTGCAAACAAATGTCACAGTGATTGAAGTGAGTAAGACAGTAAATGACATCAAACCTCCTTCTATTGACAACATAATTGAAGAAGAAACTCAATGTGAGGAGCAAAATGGAATTCCAGATGTGGGAAGTGATAACGAAGAAGACTTGAATATAAGACGAAGTACAAGAATAAGAAAGCACCCTGTATATCTTAATGATTATTTGGATGAGGCTGAAATGGAGCATCTAGCATTAAATGCTGCATCATTTGTTGATGGAGTGCCTGAAACTCTCGATGATGCGAAAACAAGACCTGATTACAAAATGTGGAAGAATGCTGTCAAAGAGGAAATCAACTATCTTGAAAAGAATAACACCTGGACACTGGTAGGAAACTCAGAGATAGTTAAGCCAATAAGAAGTAAATGGGTTTTTCGAGTAAAATTAGGTGACTTAGGTGAAATCGTTAAATACAAAGCACGACTTGTAGCAAAAGGCTTTATGCAGAAGGAGAGATTGGACTTTAACGAAATATATGCTCCTGTTGCAAGGCTAACGACCGTGAGAACCATGCTAGCGGTTGCTAACTCACATAATTTGAAGATATGGCAACTGGATGTCAAGTCAGCATTCTTGCATGGAAAAATAGAGGAAAACATCTATATGGTAATACCAGAAGGTCTTAAAGATGAAGGAAAAATCTGCAAACTGAACAAAGCATTATATGGACTCAAACAAGCCCCCTATTGCTGGAATACAAGATTTGACGAGTTTGCACAAAAGGAATATCTTAGAAAATCTAAATATGACCCATGCTTGTATATAAAGTCAGACAAGAATAATACAACATACTTGTTACTGTATGTGGACGACATACTTTTAATCAGTAGCCAGGAAAGTGAAATTCAGAGCGTAAAGTCAAAACTAGGAACAGAGTTTGAGATGCAAGATCTTGGAACAATAAAAATTTTTCTAGGAATTAGTGTAAGACAAACTGAAGAGGGTATGTATTTAAGCCAAAGAAATTATATTCTTGATTTGCTGCGCCGTTTCCAAATGAGCGATTGTAAGGAAATAAAAACACCAATGGAAACTGCACTATTGAACACCTTAGATATAACTGTCACCGCAAAAATCGAAAACAAACCCACTCGTGAGTTAATAGGAAGTCTCATATACCTAATGTTGGCAACACGACCTGACTTAAGTGCATCAGTTGATATTTGCAGTAGACACCAAAACAAACCTTCAGAAAGTCTGTGGAAAAACCTCAAACGCAATTTGAGGTACCTTAAGGCAACTGCAAACATTGAACTGTTCTATCCAAAGAATTGTGAACTGAAACTTGTTGGATTTGCAGATGCAGATTGGGCTGGAGACTAAGAAGACAGAAAATCAACTACTGGCTACCTATTTAAAGTTTTTGGAGGCACAATGTGTTGGAGCACTAAAAAGTAAAGTTCGGTAGCCATGTCATCAACTTAAGCTAAGTATGCGGCTCTTGCAGAATCAGCTGAAGAAGGGATATGGTAGTCGAATCTACTGATCGACATAAAAAGTAACATGGTCAACCAGAAAATAGAATGTAATTTAGGCTTACACTTTCAGTTTTTCTATCTTTTCCACAACAAGACTGGGCATAAATAAAATGAGTGAAAATGTACCAAGCTCTAGGCAGAAATTTTCGCTTCGGTTATGTTATAACAAAAAGCTTGCTGTGGGAAAGATCGATTAAATATTTGGTTCATATATCCTATTCCAGTAAGGAAACATGTAAACAATGTAAAATGATGTGAAATGGCATTTGTCTGGTGAAGGGATACAAAACTAAATTTGAAATTATCGATTATCTTTAGCCTAATATTATAGGTATAAAACAGTATTTATGATTCCAGCTGGCTAAGGAATTTCTGTGCAGTGGGAACAATTTCATTTCTGAATTTTTCTTCTATTTCTAAGTTTAAAAAACACCTGAGTAATAATTTTTTTTTCAATTTAGCTGGTTTTTAAATGAACTGAAAACACTGGAAATGAAATTTTCAGACCTTGCATACACAATTGAACCACACATTTTGAATTTTTAGAGTTGCTTGCAACTATAACCAGACTAGTTTCACAGAAGAACACAAAATTGATGTTTCAGATAAGTGATGAAGAATTACTTCATTTTATTGAAGGGTATCTAGATTAATCAATGCATATGCAATGATTACAGCATAATACAATACGTATACCAGTGAAGTTCATCATGGCATGTATTCTCAAAAAGTAAATTTAAATAATTTTTGAATTACTCTTTTTATATGGATTCTTGGAGAGGCAATCTATTTATTTAGATTCACTTCATTGTGCTTTATCTGTTCGTAAACACTGAAGAGGGCCTTATTAAAGAACATACCTTCATATCTATATTGGAACTTATTTGTTTGAAGTCACAATCTGCCATAACATTGACATCTGCAGATAGATGGAAATGAGCAAAATGTCACCCTCATCATGATGGAAACAGATTTTGTAAAATTCGCTAAAAAGAAAAAATCCAAATTGATTGGACATGCTGTAGTATTCTGTAACGGGCTAAATGGTGTAAGTTAATCATTAGGACGTTCTAAGTACAGTGTGACAGATCTGATGTAATTTGTATACTTTGGGTATAATGTACGACTGAACATTGCTATTTGACGTCAACCATAGTTTAGTTGTAGAGTAACGTAAAGTGGGAGGTGAGGTACAGAGAGAGATATCTACTTATTAATGTCATTCTTAGAATCGGTGGGCTTTGTTTATGTCTATTTTAACAAGTCCTAGAATAGTTTAAACTTTGAACCAATACCAGTTATGAGTGTGAAAGATGAAGTTTTGAAAGGATCTTTTCTGTGCTTGGCTTCGTGTAAAAAACACGTAGTCTTAAATAAAATTTTTAGATAATCATCAATCCAAATTATCTCCAACTTTCAAGGTATTTATATATAAATTTAAAAGTGGATTGTGTAAAATCATATTTTGAATTTGGTACTCGAAAGTAACTGTAGAGTCGATAGGATTTTTTACAGCAGTTTTTTTATTATAGTTCTGCCAAGAAAAATTGTAAAATTATCGAAGTTGTTTGAATTGTTAAAGCGTAGATCATAAAAACTCGTAAAAGGCATACTACGATTATAAAAAGCGTATAAACCACAACTAGCAGAAAAACCAACGAAAAATTGGACACAAGGAGGAGATCATCGTGAACGTGTCTGGATGCCCTATGAAAGAATGGGTTTGAGGTGGTTACTTGAGGTGGTTACTGCTGGAGACTGCCGGAATCCCAGATCTCCAGAATCAAGGAAGTCGATTTGGAGGATCATAAATCAACAGCCTTGAGTTTCCTTGATGGTTTCTGGAAATAGGATTTCCATTGGAAGTGTAAGGTTTAATGCATTAAACCCTAGGGTTAGACCCTGTATTTTGTTAATATTCCTATTAAGGCCATCATTGGGAAAGAGTTGAATATTCACAAAATTGACACTCTGATTCATTTGTTCAGAGACCATTCAATCAAATTATTCTGAAATCAGAAACCTATTGAAACTGTCAAGTGAACCGTATTCCTTGTTTTATTGATATTCTGGAGGTGTCTCCTATCCCGGTGAAATATTCATGAATAGTGAAGAGCAAGAATGATAATTCAAAAATGTTTTGGCTGAACTGTTCATCTATATAATATGATTTAGTGTTTCTTAAAGAAATTGAAAATTACCTTTTTTACTGTATAATTGTTATTGGGTTATTGAAAATGTAAAAGAGTTCCGTGGTGGCCTTGGTAGTGGACGGACGTGCTGATAACGTCCGTCCACAAAGAAGGTACGCGGATGCCATGTACTATCGTGGGGCTCCGTTTTGTGTTGTGTTGTATTAAAATTGAAATGTGGAGTGTCTGAAAAAGTGATGAATAAGTGGCCCCCTTTATTCACGCCGGTATCCAGGCCGGGGTGGTTCGGATAACCACGTAGAGGGGGCTATACAGTGCTTTTCAGATAAAAGTATCCACCTTTAATAACTTTTGTAATACTGGTATTTAGGAAAAATCCGAAAACACGTTAATTCATGTTGGAAGGGGCAAGCATTATGGCTTATTTAAACTTACTGAAAAAGCCACCCCCTCACCCCTAGCATCATTCCTTTTTTTTAAATTACTTCTCATATTTTTTATGTAAAATTTGGATACTTCTCTTTGAGCTGATTTCAAAAATGTATAATACTTGTAGGTTAAAGTGGTTAGTTTATGAGATAAACAATTTTTCTTTTAATAGCACAAATTTTACTTATTTTTTACTTTCACCTTATTTGCCTGTACTAAAATGGGTTGTACAACAGTTCAAACTCTTTAATCTGTTTAACTGTGCTATTTATTCTACTTCAAAAATCCAAACAACAAAAAACTCTACTTTTTATTAAAGTTTGACATTGTCAACTAGAATTTGTAGTCACTATTGATAGTGTACTTTGATACATTATTTATTTTGTTTNATTTCATAAAAACATATGTCTTCAGAATAAGTTATCGGTTCCGAACACCTTGTATAAATAACATTTTGAAAATGTTACTTTTACAAGACGATGGAATGAAATATTTTGATAAATCAATAATAGCTCATTTATGCATTCTATCAAACATTACAAGTGTACCATTTCTGGAAATATCCAAGTTTTATCTCAAACATCTACATAAGCTGGAACCTACGATTTTAAATTGAAAAACTGAAAAGGGTCAGTAAACATGAAGAACACCATGAAATCCATTATTTGTTCATATATACGTTTGTCTACCACTAATCACGAAAAAATGTTGGGAATATTTGACAGTTAATTAAATGCGTTTCAGAAGTCGTATCAATTAATGTTCAAAAACTATTAAAATAATTTTGAATCGAAATATTACCCATTATTCAAGATTTTTGAATAAATATTTGTTATGTGTCTGACGTTTTCTTAATTTAAACCTTTCAAATCACTATACCTATTAATGTAAACCATCCCAATCTCTATACCCAAATCGAGGACATACCCCTATTGAGACTCGCCCACACCTCAAATCCCAGAACTGTCACTTGTCACTTCTCGAACGCCATCTGGCGCTTGTCACTTCTCGAACGCCATCTGGCGCTTGTCACTTTTTTCAGCCATCAACTACACCCCTTCTCATCTGTCAACCCTACTAACACGCTGTGTCATCTGCCAAGCACACCTTGTCACCCGCTATCTACCCGCTATGAGGTAAGAGTGTTGCAAAATGTTTTGTGTAAACTTTTATGATCATATAAAACAGTTAGAATTGTGAAGATAGGTTTTCGGTTTTTTGCAAATTTATCCAGACTTTTCATGTTTTTATAGAATATTTCGATAATGAAAACTGATCTGCGTCAAAAGAAGATTATTCCACATAAACGCAGTTCTCCAAATGAAAAAGTTCTTGAACAGTGAAGTTCGAGGTGTACTGAATTGAACTTCAAAACGATGAGCAGTCACAGGCAAACCAAGGTTTGCCCTTAGAAGTTCGTTGAATTGAAAAAGGAATATATGCATCCCTGGATGATAGAATAACTTCCGTGACTTCAAAAGCATAATTTAATAGATCATTAGAGCTGAAACAAACATCTTGTCAGGTGAAATTTCGGAAATGGTCTTGAATATCCTCCCACTCAGCGAATCTGTAATGCCGAACTTTGCGCAGCTTAGATTCTTCCATAACATTTATTGGTAATTCACTCAACACTGAAATGGTGTTTGCAAGTGAAGAGAATAGTGCCCTATATTGTATATCCCTTGGTGGTCGATAAACGCAGCATATGAATTTAGTGATCTTCTGTGATACTATTTTAAACCACACAACATGAAAGAAAAATATAGAAAAACACAAGTATTTATTGACCATATCACCTTCACTTCTTTTTTCGCCTTCTTCCTTCTTCCAAAATTCTTCCAAATTTTAAAATACTCTTTCGAGAAGGAAATTTCTCAATTAATTTTTGAATAGAGTATCATTCAGAATCACATCTATTATACTTCATATTTTATTGAAACATTTGATACGAATATGCTTTGGTGAATTTTCACAGACTGACAACCTTGCATAGGGTTGTCGAAGTCTTTCTTTATTCGTAGTATTATACATGAGTGTCCTCATTTCTCATTAGTTCATTTTGGTTTCTCAGCTCAAGAATATACAAACATGGAAGGGTTAGTATTTGGAGATTCTTGAATAAAGGTTTACATGTTGTAGTTGGATGAGCATGACACATTGTTCTTATTATCCATTTTTGAGATACAAATACCCTTTCAAAGTGACAAGAGGACCCCCAAAAGATAACGCCATATTGCAGTACTAGTACTAGAGTGCCACCAAGATTTAGCTAAAGCCTCGGTAGATAATAACATCATCCTGAGGTGGATTAAAGGGCATTGCCGACCCTTTAGCCAAGGAAGCGGCTGGACTAAGAATTTTAGGACCCAGTGTGGCACCTATGGCCTGATGACTTCGACAATTGCGGAACTAGCCAAATGTTACACCCATGCTCAATCCCTAAAAAGATGGGATGAAATCAAAGGATGCAATCTTACCAGGATCACCCTGGGCGACCCTGGGAAGCTGGCGCCGAAGAAATATCTGGCGATGGCCAGGAAAAATCTACGCTTAACAGTAGGATTTCTGATTAGCCACTGTCAACAAAGAAAACACCTCCATAATATGGGGCTAGTAGACACACCTCAATGCAGGTGTGAACAGAAAGATGAAACTGTCAGGCATGTTCTATGTGAGTGTCCAGTGTTGTCGTCAATAAGAGAATGTGTGTTCGGCGAGTCTTGGCCTACACCTGCCGATATAAAGGAGATGTCTCCTAGTGATCTGTTCACCTTCCTGGAAAGGACAGGATGAACGATGACCTAAGAGGACACCTTCTCGAGAGGATGTACAATGTGTCACATGTGGCCTGAATGCTGTGGGCCTACACTCACTCCCCCTACTCTAAAGATACAGATACTATTGTAATTATAAAATCCGTTAGAAATTGTATCAAGTTCTTGGCAAAACGAACCAAGTGCTTGAAAGAGAATATTGAAAAAAAACTTCCCAGAAACACATTGGAAAAACCTTACGGCAATGTGCGTACAAACTTTTAAAGATCTTGTCGACACTACCTGTTTCCAGATTTACCCCTGAAAGGACTTTCTCTTCTCTGAAACGCCTCAAAACTCATTCAAGAAACTCCACAAGCCAGGAACGACTAAACGGTTTGGCGTTAATGTCAATCCACCGTAGAATTGACATCGACACCGAGGAGGTAATCGACTTGTTTGGTGCAAAGAAAGCTAGAAAACTAAATTACATATCTATAGTTAACTTAATCTACTGATTATATTGAGAAAAACCAACTCACCTGGTATTTCAGAATGTCAACATTGAAATACGAAGCACTGGGATTTTGTTCGGATTGTTTTTTGAGTAACGAACTCAATGCAGACATATTGAATTCCACTCCCATGTGTTCAGTTGACGATTGTCCACTATCTCTAAAAAATAAATTAATTTGAAGATGCTGGGGCTTTTAAAACTTGATCCCATTCAACAGTTGAAATAAATGTTCTCATTTTTTCATTATTTTGTATTGAAGATCACGACAATTGTGAATAAAAAAATCTTTATATCGATACAAAAACAACTAATTTGAAAAATGATGACGGGGAGTAACATGATGTAGACGATATCCAAACTTCAAATACGGCCGATTCTGAACTTGATATCAAAAACATACTGTGACTGCAGTACTTACATCGAAACTAACTGCTTATTAGGTAAAAGACTGGTTAACCTTTGAGTATTCTTGACGCGAAATACAAGTTTTGCTGGATTCGGATTATTAGCAAGAATAGTAACTATTCCTGCCGGAAATGACAGCATCATTTCTCCAGACATCTTCACTTGACACCTGAAATACAAATTGAAGTTATTAGATGAAAATATTATATGTGTTAAGGCCTAAACTGATTTGATTGTTAATATTGGTTTTCATAAATTTTTGATGAACCCTGTAGTAATCAAAATTAGGTTGCTAGTGTTGTCGAAGAAATGAAAACATGTGTGACGTTAATTAAATGCAAATATTAGGATTCACCTCTTCATTCTCGCTCCCTTTGTCTGCTAACAATCTGAATAGGAAAATTAAAACAATTATACAGATAGGAGAGAATAAAGGTTTCAATGCAGACAAAAATCCAGAAGTTAGGCAGAAAACAAAGCCTCAAATTTACGTACAGATCAATATACCCCAGCTTAATCAATCAGAAATAGAGAAATTTGTGATTTTAACATATTTTCGTGAATGAACAGAGACAATTGTGGGAGAAAAAACAATGTGGAAGTGGCATTCAGGCCACATGCCGGGTTATCCAATTTACTTTTTAATGCCAAAGATAAAGTGGACAAGATGGAGAAATCTGGAGCTTATAAGCCTAAGTATTCGGATTGTAATACTGTTTATGTGGCCGAAATTTCTCATAAAGGTATGCTGAACAAAAAAGATCCTTCTGACAAGGTAAAAATGATTAAACGTTTTCAAAACATTCCTCAGAATGCAATCACAGGTTCCCGAATCTAAACGGAATTTCTGTACTATGCAAGCAAGGGTTGAAAACTCAATTATTTGGAATCCTTGAAAATTCATAAACATAAACATTGCCGATATAACCTACTGAATGATCAAATCGTCTTGGTTTTGTATGGCGTGTTTTGCCATACAAAACAAACATAATTTCCCTCCACCAAAGAACATAAAACTCATAAAACAAGTCAATAAGGCAAATCGTATGGACATTTGGGAAAACTTAAACATCCATAAATTCAACAGTCATAAATCACTTATCGAGGAACAAGTACAAATCAAAACACAACAAGACCTAACATTCAATAAATTTTAATTTTATTCAATTATCATGACCTCCTGCTCATTTTAAGCAGTTACGATTTATGTACTATTACATTTAGAAGCTTCGTCAATAAGAATTCTATTCTTTAGATAATAAATCATGCTCTGACTTTGCCCAAGAAAAATAATAATGCGTGTGCCGTTTATGGAGAAATGTTCCGTGATTTACGCAATCATAGACTTATGCAAAATTACAAAATACTGCCCCAACTGCTTCACCAACATTTATGTTTATATATGTCGCTTCAAGAAGGTGGAAAATTGTATTGCTGACATTATTATCATTTTGCAATCCAAACTGAGCTTCTGAAAGAATATTGTACCTTAATAATAACTTGAGCAACTTGATAGCTCACTTCTAAGAATATCTTTACTGGCAGAAAAGAAGGTGAGATTCTGACTGGATTCTCGAATTTCCTCATTTATCCATAATTTGATATTCAATGTTCTGATAAGAAATTTCTCATACAGCACTCACAGAAAATACTTTATACACTACATAGTCCAACATGAAATCTTAAAAGAAAACAATGCATTGTCTTTGATTGCAGGAAAAAAGATCAGTTTCACAAACCAAAGTTTGCAGGTCTATCTTAATGAAGATATATGTTGTTAATAACAACTGATTAACGGAAAAACAGATTTTAAACAGATTTTTTATTAGCATTTGAAACTTCTATACAACAGAAACTTACTCACCTCGTCTCATCTGCTCCTCGGAAATACGAATGTACAATTTCATGGAAAGCAACAGCCAAGGGTATAGTATCAGCCATACCAATCGTTAGGGGTGAAGGCCCTCTAGATACACCCACTGGAATACAAGCTGTACGAAACTCCAAACTGTTTATACTGTCAGCACGACTAATATTAGTTGGACCTGCTATATTTCTAGTTTGATCTGAACGACGAGACGGAGGTCTTGGAATGGACATGTATCCAGAGGTAGGCGTAGGAGTTTGACGCTGTGATTGTTTCGCAGGTGGTTGTTGAAGTTCTCCGTCTTCAGAAAATATCTCGCCCAATTCTAATTATAAAAAAAAATGTTAATCAGTGAACAAAAAAATTAAGAAAATGGTGAAATACCTCTTCATGATATAAGTTCATTTGATAGCCCAAAAATGTAAGCATTTGATTATACAGGGTGTTTCATAATTGAATGCTGATTCTGAACGGCGATATTCCTTGGATGATTATTTTAAGAACATTTCTTCATTTGAACATAGGTTCGCAACCTTTTCATTTCTGAGATACACCATATTGAAATTTGACAAAAAAATCATTTCTCTCCTAATATCTCTAACACCGCTTTGGCTTCTTTCTTAATTAAATGCAAAATACGCATAAAAATTACTTTTTCCATATTGAATGTTTTCTTAATGTTTATCAGTGGCGTCCGTGTTAACATGCCCTGTCATATTTTTTATCAAAATCGTGATACGCACTATGCTTTTTTCAAATAAATATTATTTTTGTAATTGCCTTCTATCTT